TGTAAATTCATTCAAAGTTCTAAATTCTTGTCTAATAGTATTTTTTATTGAATATGTAATCAATGATATCTTCTTGTTTCATCCATAGAGCTTTTTTTCTGAACAATTTCAGAATTTATACTGAAAAATCTTGTCTTACGAAGAAGCATGTCCAAGAATTCTATTGCTTTTTGACCGAAACTATACTTAGATGATAAGCTATAATGAGTAGTGTCAAAGCCTGAGATAATTCAATTGTCATCTTAATCTGAGAAATTAACCATGAGTTTCACCAACAAATTCAGTCAAAATTTGATATCTCCAGAACAAAGACTCAGACAGTTGAAATATATTAAATTTTCACACTATTCATCATAGCCTATCATCTGAATACAATTCGATACTTGAGTATGTTCCTCCATTCGACTTAATACTAATATTGCCAACTCCGATCTATACTTATAAATAGTGATTGATGAATTAAAGAAAACTTATGCGTTCACTATAGCAGAGATGGAATCTGTTTAGATTTCTCAAACTTTATACCGAACCAAAACTGAAGTTGATGTGAGATACTACGAACGGAACTGTAATTGACATTAGTTTGAAAAGTTGCTAGCCAAAGCAATTTTATCTCTACAACATAGCTACAATGAAACAACTTGTCAACTATATAAAGAAGTCCTCATCGAATTAAAAAAGAACTCATTTTTCGAAATTCATCAATTCTTGATTTCATGAAACGATATGAAAAAATTTCTTCTATTATTAGATAAATATGTTTCATTAACTTTTTCAATTGTTTCAACGATCGTTCGATTCACAACACATAACCTAAAGAATTTAAAACAACTTGGATTAAAAGATTTAAAATTGTACGGCGTTTAAATTCCTACTGAACATCAAGTTATTCGATATTTCAATTCGAATCAATAAAATAAGTACATACTAATATTTGTGGTTATGATTTGTTGGATCTTAGATGATGACTAAAGTCTAAATTGAGATCAATATAATGAGTTATAAGTTTTTCACAAAAATTTTCAATAAGACATCGATTATAGGAAAAAAAATTGATTTATTGATTATTAGAAAAACGAATAAAACAAATAATTGAATTATTTTCTATATGAACTGCTATTGATTGTTTGATAGTTATAAATTGAATATGAATACACTCCATAGTTTAATTAATAATATAAATGATTGTCAAGGTCATTGAATTAACAATCTATTCAATAAATATCAAATTTATCTTGAAGATTACTAAGTGATTCCTTTGAATTTCAATCGAATAAATTAAAAGAGGCATTATTATTATCAGCATGAATCGATATTAGTTAAGATTTTGATAATACAAAAATAAAACAAAATTTTTTTTTACTTATACATAGTTAAATAGAACTTAACGAAATTAAGTAAGAAGACAATAGTGTGTCTATCAATATGACTCATCGAAGTTTATTTTCACTTTTATTTGCCTATCCTAATTATAATAACACATTTAAATAGTGATTCAAGAAGAGATACATATGTCACAGTTGACATGAGATTTCAGTTAAGTTTCCAATGCGCAAAATAATTTTTAAAAATTTCTCAAACAAAAAAAGAATTTTACAAAACAGACTCACATTAAAAAATATTTTTTTCCTTTTGAATTTTGTTCATTTTATTAATAAAAAACTAACAATTTTTGTTGAATACATTTCAGTTTGCTGAAAATTCTATTGTATTGATTGTATGCGACATACACGAATTGATGTTTATTATTGTCTTCAAGTTTTGATATTATTAAAATAGAAGGTATATACTTGATTTAAAATTGTTTATTGTATCATTTTGAAAATATTGATGGATTTCAATTTTTGAATTTGAGCGATTCAATAACATTCACTATATATTAAATTTTTCTATAACAACCATTACGTGTCATTTACTATCAATTACATTGTGTAGAGAAGAAAACATTAAGTTTCAATTTCATTAGTACTTATAATCATTTCTTATGTTCTGACATCGTAATGATAAGATACCCACATGATATAAGATACCTTTATTTTTGACAATCTTCTTCATATTGCTTCTGCTCGTCTTACATTCGATTCAATTGTTTAAAAAAAAATATTTATGAAATTCTAGTTTTTAATATTTAATTAGTTATCTGAAAATCATTTTTCATAAGTAATTTGAAAAAAATTCTATTTACTAATTGTTGAAAATTTATATTTATTACAGAGAAACAAAACAAAAAAAAACATTTACTCATTGCATAAACAATGTTTCTATTTGTATATGTTAACAATATTTTGCACGAGAAAATTACAAAAATGCTATTCCAATCTTAACTAGATCTCATACTCGCTCGTCACGATCAGTATGAATATTGAGGGCTAGTGTACTAAAATGGTCACTTTTTTTTCATGTATTAGTCTCAGTAAGAAAACAATTTTGATCAGCAAAAATGTAAATTTAATCCGGTAAAGAAACAAAATTTTATTTTTATGGAGATTAATTTAGTAAAAAAAAATAATAAACTTAAATAAATAATAAAAAAACCACAAAATAAGAAAAAATTCAAAGAATGAATAAAAATTCGATGATTATACTAGAACAACATGTTTTTACTTTGTTATTCAACCTCTCTTTTTTTTTCTGTCTGATCGGTACTATTTTTGTGAATGGTTATGATTTGCAATATTTCAAATGAATAACTATGCCAACAACATATTTGTATACATAATTCATAAAAACAAACTGTAGAATTGCTTTTTTGATTTTTTTTCTGATTCGAATCATTCTCAATTTGCATACATCAAATATCAAATGAATTTTGTTTTGATTTGATTAAAAGTTGTACACTTCTTATTTCTTTATATTTGTTTATATCGACTTGTGTAATCGATTATAAAATACGAACTGGTATATAATATGTTTTCGATAGTGGTGGATCTGCAATAAATCATTTTTTTTTTGCGTTAATTGATAAAGACTCTCGCTCAAATAATTAATTATTAATAATATTTGAAGCTATTGTTAAAAATCTTGAAAATGAAATGACAGTCTCTTAATATCCCATCGTATTTAATTGTTTCTAAGGCAATCTTTGTATTTGACGTAAAGCTTTATATCAACCGCCATTGATTATCAAAAATAATTTTAAAAATCTGAAATTTATTGGTTCCTAACAAAAATATAAACAAGCAAAACATCGATGTGTGGAAAAAGTCAAATTTCAAAATAGAAAATGTCAAATTAAATACGCTTTCAAACTATGATCACTTAGGTAATTTTGATGTAAATCATTTATTTGATTATCTCAAGAGAAAAGAACTTGTTGTTCGTCAATAAGTGTTGAAGATGATGACTGGTGAAAAGAAGAACAAAAACAAAAAAAAACTTATTGCGTTTTAATAACAAATCTGTTAACTCTAATTGCCATCTAATCAAAATGAAATGAGTCTGTTTTTGTTTAGTTGAGACAAGAAAACGATGTTTCTAATTCGTTACTATGTTGTCAAGGATTTCTAAAATAAAATATTAAATACAAACATATGTTGTTTGATCCCTATACTGATATTATATACTGTTCAAAAATTGTTTTTTTTTTCTTTCATATCAAAACATCTAACAACACTAAATCAAGAATTGAATCATCCGATCGTCTTGTTGATGAGGAATTAGAAATGTCAATCGAATGAATATACTCATACATAAAATAGTTTTTCTTTCTACTTTTATCAAATCGATTATTAATTGATCATTCAATTCATCTTACGTATATATACCAGTGAAACACTGCAATATGTATCCTAGTGAATCCAAAACAAACAATGAATAAATAACTTTTTTTTTTTTTATAATTTGAAATTACTTTTGATTCTATTCTATATCTATATAGAAAGATCGGCAAATTGTAAATGTGAATATGTTCAATATGCTTGACAAAATCAATAAACATGATCTAGACTTATTTGTTCAATTATGTCAATCGTATTTGACTGTAAAATATAATCAAATCAATTCCGAACAACTTCAATATTGAAAGAAGACTTATCAAAATAACAGTACGGTTATTTTATATTACTGCTGACTTTGAAGATCATGTTTACAATAGAGAACAATTAATCAAAATCGAATTATTTTAACTGAAATCTTTATCTATTTTTTTTACGACTCTAACTTGATTAATAAATTAGAGAAAAAATTTTATTTTCCTAATGTAAATGTAAAATAAAAAAAAAAACAAAGCCTTCGATTTCACATGTTGATCACAAGACTTTTCATTTTTCGGCTGTGAGTGAAAGTTTTCTCTTTGTCTATTCACATTCTTCATTATTGAGTCACTTGCTAACAAACACTAAAGGATGAATTAATAAAAATAAAGGTAAAAGCTATGGATCTAATTATACACAGAAACCTTTTACTCCTCATATTTAATAGGCAAACAACTTCATAACTAACTAAATTTGCCATGAGTGTTATGTAGTATCTCTTTTTCGATTATAAATTCATTCAGTCATATGGGAATCAATGAATGTCACCTTCAATGAAAATGAAAAAAACAACTCAAAAATATAAATCAAACAGTTACTCAACAACAGTAAAGAAAAAAAAATTTCGAAACATACATGATCATAAAATATGCTGCTTTTTGTAAATATTATTGTTACATTACTTGATAGATTCTTTCATGATCATAAGAAATAAATATCATTGTTAGTTACCCACAAAGACATGAAATAATAAAATTTTAAATTCAATTTTTTTTTTTTTCTTTTGTATTTTTATCCGCATCTTCTCGTTGAGAAATCCACAATTGTTTTTGCATTTTTTTTTCTTTCTTACTAAGAGAAGAAACGAAAATCGATAGCCTTGTACTTATCAGAGCTCGTCTGCTGTCTTTCATTTGACTGAAAAATAAATAAAATCAGTATTGATTACTTCTTTTCGTTTTTTTTTTACATTTAGCAAATTGATATTGGATATAAAGAAGAAAAAAGAAAAAACTTTTCATTAATACTATGACCGATTTACAATTTACTGTTCGTGAAACAATCTATCGTCAACATGGACGAATTGTGGAAATTGATTATCAATATGATGAAATAAAAACAGAACAAGTTGAAGAAAATATGCAAGTTAGACAAGAAAAACTTGAAAAACATTATCAAGCAACAATTAAACGTGATGAATATGAACGTATTGCAAATACATGTCAACGTGATGTTTTATCATTTGATAAATTTATTCAAATTATACAACCATTTATGATGGGTACATATACAACTGATGAAATTCTTGAAGCATTTCGTTTACTTGATAAAAATTATTCTAAAACAATTGATTTAGATGAATTATCTGCTTTTATACCTGTTATACATCCAAATATGACTAAAGAAACTGTATTAAGTTATATTATGAAAGTAACACAATATGGGAAACAAGAAATAAATTTTAATGAATTTATTCAAATGGTTTTACAAGGTGTTGGACGAGATATTGTTTGTGGTCATGTTTAAATAGATATTTAAAAGACAATACATATATATATATATAGAATTTTATATTGCTATATTTTTAATTCAGAATAGAAAATTTATTGATTTTTCAAAGTTACTAATGTGTTCATGAAATACTAACAATTTTAATCTGTTCTAATCGTCTTTGTTTAGTTTTTTTACTCGTTTTGCATGAATCCTGACTCTACACCATACATGTCGCAAGAATGAACATGTCATACTGCAATAATCAATTAAATCTAATGCTATTTAAATAAAACTAAATAGCCGAACATTATCGATTAGATTCTTCTCGTTAAGTAATATGTGATAAAACAAGAATATTTAGTGACTATGGTTCGATCTAATGAATATAAAAAAAATGTAATAATTGAATGGCTAACATACGATAATATCTCTCATGAGCTAAAGTTCATTTTAGACAGTCGGTATCAGAAAAACATCAATTTTGGTCAAATTTTTCAATCTCATCAATTATAGTTCGTTAGATAGAGCTAAATGTCTATCCTAGTTGACTCTCCCCAATAGAGTCCCCCAGGAGTCCCCTAAAAAATGTGAAATCCCTGGTGAGTCCCCAGGGAATCCCTAATTTTTAGGGAGTGGGGAGAAAATTAAAAACTCTCTAGGGAATTCCCGTACAGGGCCTCCCTGGTGAGTTTTTCTTTTTGTGATTTGATTCTATAAAGTGCATAAATGTTTTAAATATATACTAAAATACATCTGTTTAGATATATCTATATAATTGGTTCTAGAAGCGTTCAGTTGATACAAAAAGAAAAGAGTCAAAGAAAAAGTACTAGACGTTTTTGTTTTATCTGAAAATCGTTAAATTTATTTCGCTAAGCCGTGTTGGCACTTTCTGGATAGATAGTAGTTAAAGAGTTAGACATATATATATATTAGATAGTTAGATAGTAGATAGATAATGGAGGGCTAGGTGAATAGATGGATAGATTGATAGTTAGTTAGATAGATAGATAGATGAGGATATATTTAGGTATAGATAGATAAGCAGATGAACATTACATCGATAGGTGGGTAAATAGATATGTAGATATGTAAATAACTAGGTACGCAGATAGGTAGGTAGATAATAAGTAGGTAGATAGTTCGTGGGTAAGTAGGTAGCTAGATAGGTAGATAGCTAGGTAGGTGGGTAGGGAGGTAGATAGCTAGGTAGGCAGATAGGTAGGTGGGTAGATAGATAGATAGCTAAGTAGGCGGATAGGTAGATAGCTAGATAGGTAGGCAAATAGGTAGAATGGTAGATAGGTAGCCCTGGGAAAGAACGAAATTTGATTACGCCCCTAGGGACTCCCCTTGAGAATGAGAGGCTCATTATTGACTTTTAAGACCACTCCCTCAACAATTCCTGGGGATTCCCCATAAACTCCCTCTTAAATCCCCAGGAAATCCATGTCGGGAATCCTCGAGGAGTTTTAGCAGGGACTCCCAGAGGATTTTATAAGGGAGAGTTGACTAGGATACTCTTAAATGTACATCAGTTTATTGATTTTCTGATGAAATTTAAAAATATTACATAGGTTTTTCTAAATACTCATGCTGAAAAAAAATAACATTGTTTTTTTAAAGCCTTTCAAGATTCTTTGTTGACTTTTTGTCGTAATGGACATGGTTCTCATGCATTCGTAAGTATGATAAATGAATACAACACTTGAACATGAGAAACCACAGAATGGAATAAAGGTGTGGATGAACTGAAGACTCACACCCAGTAGTGTTAAAACATAAGATAAGAATAAGCTTTACTCAGTGTACACAGAGGCGGGTATAAGTCATAGCACTTTGGAGGATGCTACGCAGATCTGAAAGATCAGTTACAGAAACAAATTTTATTTTTAATTCTTGAGTGATTGAATTCAATTTTCAGGTTTGACATGTGTAACAGATAGGGGCGTATTGGTACGGATGTAAAGACAAGAAAATGGAAAACTTTTTTCGAAGAAATTCTAAGGCGGTTTGTATGCTCACAGATAGAGTTCGCCGAGCCCAAATTTACAATAAATAGTATATTATTTAAGCCTCTAATGGGATTCTTCATCAATATGAAAATCTATATATATTTTTACTATTGATAACTAGTGAAGAAAAATAAACTTTTATCAATAAATCTCAAAACTGTTTACATGTATGCACATATCTAAGTACACAATATAAATATAAAGAAAGCACGAAATTGATTCGTTTTTTTTGCTGATTTCTGAGAGTTCTAAGGATTATGTAACGGAAAAACGTGATACTTATGTACTATTCAGTGCATAAAGTGTTTGAACTAGTTCAAAGTACCATTAGATATATTAAAATGCCTTTAAAATATCATAAAGATTAAATTGCTCGATATGGCATCACAGTATGTTCCATAGAGCGCCAATAACTGTACACTCTATGTAGCACAGAATTGTTTGCGTTTTGACTTGATTGAAATGCAGTGTGTTTCAAAAGTGTGGTCGAAAAAGAAAAGTAAATATCTCTATAGCCGTTCAAGTGAATTATGTAACGTTTTTATACTGTCATTTTATTTTCATTGAAGCTTTATTTCACATAAATTTGTCTCTAATAAGTATACAAAATAGCCACTCGTATAAATGCAATACGAAAATCTATCATTTTTGACAATATCTGTAAAGCATCATAACAATAAAATTTAGTTTTAAACCTTTTTGATTTTATTATGGAATTTCATTTTCAACTGAAGTCTGTGATAGATGTCTTACAAAAATTGTTCTCTATATATCCTTCTAAAATATGTTGAATTGCGTCAGCTCAGTTGATCATGATGCCCATTGAAATTAATTGCTTCTTCTATTAGACTTGCTTAGAGATATATTCTGCAGACTTATGATAGACTTCACTGCTAAAATACAAAGGAAATAGATGTCTGTGAAATAATATGAAGTTTATCTAGTATAATTTTCTTACTTTTGGACTAAAAAAGCCTTCAATATAGTAAAATAGTTTTCTTCATCAATAATGTTACTCTAAATACACGATTTTCTGAGATCACATCAAAAACATCGTCTCTTCAATATGGTATTATAATTTCGATAGTTTCATGCGTCCAAGTCGTTAATTATACTATTAAAAATAGAATGAATAGATTTATTGTTTGAAGTTCTATGTACAGCAAGGTTTTGTTGTATGAAAGAACAAAAAGTTTAGTTAGAAAAAATAAAGTTTTCGGAGTTTTTGTGTTTATATTTTAGTTTTTTATTGTCGCTGAGTTTTCGTGACGTTTTCTCACCTGGCCAATAACTCATCTGTGTTAACAAGCTTTTGTCAGAGTTGTTTGGTTTTTTTTGCAGATTCGGACTTTTACCATTTTCTCTGGTGTCTTCAGAGTTTTTGTAGTACTTTTGCGAAACTTTCCAACACTGAAGGCCGGAAAATATTGATGACTAAAGTGGGAGTTTGTTCGTTTGTTGTTGTTCAAGGGCATAGTTCTTATATTTTCATTTTGTTTTAATAGCGACCTATTTCCATCGGAATTCAGAATTTGATAGTTCCAAGGTGAACTTCAGATATTTTAGACAACTTTTTATTTCTCTACAAAATGGTAAAAAATAGAAATGGTACGTTCCGGACGAGATGGGATCCGCATCTCTCTCCTAAGTAATCCTGGAAAAGCAATTTTTCACACTAACAAATATGTTGCTGAAATCGTCTTTGATCCACGAAGATTATAGAGCGTATTGATTTGTCTATAAGATAATGATCTTTTTTTTTTGTTTTCCATGAATGAATTCAAGTAAAATGATAACATTTCGAAGATTTTCACATTGAAATGTGGATATCTATCTATTGCATGAATTACTATGACTGTACCTTACGCAAAAAAAGTATTTGGAGCAGACAAGGTTACTGTTCTATAGACAATGCCTACGTTCTATTATATGAATAGATTAAATGAATTATGGATAAACGTTTGTTAGTCTGGAAAACTAGCATATGAATATTTAGAAAGGTTTCATATGTTCATATTTAAAATCAACATGGTCGATAATCAGAGTTCGGGTTGGATTCGGGTGTGGAAATTCTGGATCTGAACTGCTCTAGTTACGAGTTAAAAGCGATTAATCAGGTAGAAAGTTTTCCTCGTGAGTCTTATGCGAGAGTTCTTTTAACAACAAGCATGTTTTCAACTTAAACTATGATTAGCAGACTTTCCAATCTATTCGGCATTCGTAGCCAAAACTTTTATGTCAATAGATATAGCATGATTTGAAGTATATTTGTTACCATTTGAATTTATGAAAAGTTTCGTTTTTTTCCTTGATTTTTGCCTAGATGTATACTCCGCATGCCCCTCTCTTGACAGACCGTGATAGACGAAACCACGAAAAAAAATCCCCCTCGCAACAGACTTTGTTTATATACGATCAAAGGCCATAGATGAATAAAGGTCCGTTTTAATGCATGAACTATTTCTTTATTGCATTTCGGAAGGATTAAATAAAAGAATAATGAAGAAATTGGTGGCAAAATAGATAGAATAAAGAGTTGCTTCTGTAATTAGCAATAGCTGCTAGATTATGTTTCACATTTCAATCTCACAGAGATTGCGTTAGCAACTTTTTCATCGAAAAATACAATGTGAGTTACAAAATCACCCGAAACAATTGGTGCACTAGATATTCTTGCTAAGTTTTTAATTTTATGAGCCTATCTTGTGATTGTTTTCCTTGAAAAATTAATCGAAAATGTATCCTAGGTTTGTTAGTATGTGCCAGACAACGAAAATAAACCGAGATTTTCTTATTCGTTGCGGTCTCTATATCCTACCGAAACAAAAATCATTTACCTATAGCTTGCCCACGAGTCTCATTACTGTGACATATTGTTGATAGTTTAACGGAACCACCGATCAAGTACATGATTAAGAATATCACTATTAAACACCAACATTAAAAATATATATTTTCAAATTTTACATGATTCGTATTATTAAAGAAGAAGTTTGTGTCTATAAAATTTTTTTTCTT